AATATCTCCCCTTCCAAAATAACCATTTTCCACTTACTCTGCCTTGGGGTTAGTTTGGTTGGGTTGGCAACCCAAAACCAAACCAACATAGTGTATTTTACCCCTTCAAAAATGCTACTTCAACACGCATGTATTCTCAAACGGGCCAATTCTATGGGCATTCTATTTGAGGTCCATTTTTTTTTAAAGCTAACTAAACTTGCAAGATGTAATTGATGTGGGTGAGAGATGAATTGGGATCGAGACTAGGTGGAGAGTTATAGCGGAGGGATTAAGAAGATAGAAATTATCAATTTTTTGAATGGAACACTGTAGAAGGACAGTGACTTCCGTGATCACTCGAATAGGGTGGCCATAAAATCGGCCCGATTCTCAAATAAGGATAACACCACTTGTAATTTTTTTTTTTGAAGGCACCACTTGTAATTAAATATGCCTTGATGTTGCATCTCCACCTAAAAATAGTCATGTCTTGTGTGCATTTGTAATCACTCCCATATTAATAACACTCGCTACCGTTGACACTACGGTGTCACTGGCTTGGCAATAGAATACCTACTAGGCACCATAGAAATGATCAATTTTGTGAATACAGTGCACTCTGTCATTTTATGACATTGATAACCTATATCAAAAAGAAGCTTTCTAGTAACTATTGTGTATATAGTTGGAAAAAGAGTAATATTATCCTCCGTCCCAAAACGTTGGTTGCATTTCCTTTTTCAACAATTATGAGATTTTTTGTTTATTTTTTACGTTTTCATTGATTATTTCATAAAGTATGACACCTCTTATTTCATGTTGCATAACTGTTACGGAGTATAAATCAATAAAGTTTATAAAAATATTAAATAATCAAAAATATGTCTTTTTTGTTTTTTTATGATTATTTTTTTGGATAACGAAAAAATTAAGAATTTTACATATTAAGAATCGGATCGGACTTGGACAGGTCCCTATTTTTTCATGAAAACCAGCCTAATCTGACTCAATTTTTAAAAAAGAACTTACCAATCCAATCCTAAATAGTACCCGATCCGGTCTCACTAGTCTAGTTCTTTGGGAACCATCAGAAAAACGAACTTAAAACCAAGCCCTGGCTAGGGTTTTTGTGCATTAGGTCTGGGTTTGAGCGACGACGGAGAGAAAATGAAGACGATTCTCTCATCGGAGACAATGGACATCCCGGACGAGGTTAAGATCAAGGTGAAGGCGAAGCAAATTGAAGTTGAAGGTCCGAGGGGTAGGCTTTCTCGCAACTTCAAGCATCTCAACCTTGATTTCCAGCTCATCACCGACGAAGGCACCGGGAAGAAGAAGCTAAAGGTCGACGCCTGGTTCGCGTCGCGCAAATCGATGGCCGCTATCCGTACGGCGCTCAGCCACGTCCAGAACCTCATCACCGGCGTCACAAATGGCTTCCGGTACAAGATGCGCTTCGTCTATGCTCACTTTCCCATCAACGCCTCCATCACCAATGAAAGCAAGTCAATTGAGATCCGAAACTTCCTTGGAGAGAAGAAGGTTTTCCTCTATTTTTCGTTATGTTCGGTTTTGATCGATGGATTCTTCAATGGTGCTCATTTCCCCCCTTTTTAGCCCATTTGCGTTTGATTTTCTTCGCCTGCATAGATTTCTGCTGCATTTCTTCTGATAATTATGGGTGCTGTTATACTCAATAGTTCGGGTAAATATTAGTCAATCTTCTATTTAAGAAAAAACTGAGTACATATATATCTATTTGATCTTTCTTTAATCAAAATATTTAACAGGCTGCATTTTAATGTACTGGCTGTGTTGGGTATAGAGTTGGGATTAACAGAGTTATCCTTTTTATATGTGTTCTAAAAAGTGCAAACCGCAGAGCAGAGTCAGGCTGCAGTTTATCATGCCTAGTTGGGGGTGATCATTGGTGTGAATCAACTGTACGTGGCTGAGGGAGGCCTCGTAGTGCCTGCGCAGCTTCAATGCGGTGTGGATTTTTAGAACAGTGCTTGTCACACATATTTTTCTTTTTCTGCTCAGCATATATTATTGGTGTAATGGTGTCCATGAATTTGGAGTTAAAAATTGTTGTTGTGAATGAATATGCACAAGGGGTGTTGTCTTCAAGTGTATATTGGCATGATGCTATAGTTTGTGTGCTCAATCATTTGGTTCAAAGGTTTACTTTTCTTAGATTGTGTTGTTCATCTGTTTAAATTGGCATGTATAGTACTTGCAATATTCTATCGATTGTTTGTTGGTCCATAAAACTCGAGCTTAAAAGATACTTTAGCTCTAAATTTGATCATTGTTCCAGGTTCGAAAAGTTGACATGCTTGATGGGGTCAATGTTGTTCGCTCTGAAAAGGTTAAGGATGAGTTGATACTTGATGGGAATGACATTGAACTCGTATCTCGATCATGTGCCCTTATCAACCAAGTAAGCCACAATTCTCTCTCTCTCTCTCTCTCTCTCTCTCTCTATCTGTGTTTGTGTGTGTGTGTGTGTGTGTTCAAGTGAGAATGGATGCACCAGTCACCATGAGAGTAATGAGAATACATACTATCCATTGGATTCAAGATCTAATGGTTGTGAATAATGGAAAAACCTATAAAAAAATGAAAATATGTGGTGACATACTGGTAAATAAATCAAGCTTCTATGCCACCACAACAAATGCATTTGTTTTTTCTTAAATGTGTATTTGCGACAAATGCATTTTTTTTCATAAATGTGTATTGGCGATTAACTAAAAATGCACCATTCTCATTTCTCATGCAAAATGGACTCTATGTTCACACATGTGTTGTCAGTTATCTGTGTTAATTATTTATCTATTACCCCCAAACTCTAGCTTATAATGTTCACATTATTTTCTTTCAGAAATGCCTTGTCAAGAACAAAGATATCAGGAAATTCCTTGATGGTATATATGTCAGTGAGAAGGGGAAAATCGTCGAGGAAGCATAGTTATTAGATATTGACTTTGGCTCTATAGTTTGGGACTAGTTAACTGTAAAGACCTATCCTACTATCCTTTTTTGTTTACTTTGGCCCTTTATTTTATAACTGAAGAGTTTCAAGCATGTTTCTATTTGTCTCCATCAAAGTATTAGTTTTGGAATTGATATGCTCAAAACATGACATTTTCGTTTGGTTTACTTTCTTTTTGGAATGAACAATACATCGGTAAGAGGCGTAGGAAGAAGCTTATGTGTAATGAGTTTAAATCTACCAAACTATTCTAGAACACGGGCAGGTGTTTGTATGTAGATCTTATCCCTTGAAAATAGAGATGTTATTTCGAAGAGATTCTTAGCTCAAGCAAAATAGGAAGCACGTAGCACGACCAAAAAACTAACTAAAAGTTAAGGGCAAGAGAAGTGTTAAGAGATGCAATCCAAACAAACAACATCAAAGCTCAAAGGTTATATCTTTTGTAGAGGCGTTACGCTAAAATTTTCAATTTTTCACACTTTCAAAGACTTGGGACTTTAACCCTTCCTAGAACTCTGGGCCCATTTGAAAATGATGTTTTTGATTAGTATTAGGGTTTTATATAAAATTTTAACGATATAGTTTAGCTTTAAAAATGCTAACACTAAACATTGTTCGTTGATAATCTTTTCAAAAAGGCTAATGATAATATCTAATGCTATTCTCATATAGGTCTTTTGTAAGGGGAAAAAAAGCGTTACGATAAATTGATTGATAATTATTGATGTCAATGGATTTTCGTATATTAAAAAATAAAAAAATATATCAAAATAACAAGCATACTCTCTCTCACGGAAATAAACATTTATTTTTTTGGGTCGTTACAAAAAATTATTATTATTTTTGTTTTGGAAGACTTCAATGGTTCATGTTTGTTCTCTCTTTGGATCACTATCACACTTGACACAAAATTTTATTTTCTCTAGGTTTTGTACACAGTCAAACTACTAAGTATCCTTTCCTTCTTATTTTAATGATCTATTATGGTTTATGATGTTTGACTGAAATTATTTTTAAATCATTTTATATGTAAAGTGATGTATAATTAAAAAAATAAAAACTGTATATTTAAAAACTATATCAAAAAATCTACAAAACTAGTAGTGACATGATTATATTAAAAATCTTTTTTGTTCTAACTTTTTTGGTTAAATGGTGACATTCTTTGATCATAAATTGTGTGAAAAGTATATTTAATTATGATATAAATTCAATATAATTGGGTTCAGCTTAGGGTATACTCCCTCCATTTTTTAAAACATATTCCCTTTCGTTTTCATAAAATGATACTTTTTATTTTATTCCATTACATCAAAGGCAAAACATGTAAAATCTTAACACTTTTACCTTTTTTTAAATCTTTGTATCAAGTGAAAACATGAAATAAATTTTTAGATGGAAGAAGTATCATTTATTTGTTTAGATTATGTTTAATTTATAATTAAAGAGTATCATTGTTTGACTAAAAAAGTCAAAACAATAAATGTTTTCAGGACAAGAGAGAGTAGTTTTTTTATATTATATGTCTAAATTTTAATTTTTATTTAAAAAAATAACATCAAGCTCCTATTTTAATATTTTATATATGTTATACTCTCTCCGTCCTAAAACTTTCTTCCCGTTGCGCAAAACGAAGAAAAATCCCAAGTTTTTTCAATTTATTTTATTTAAATATTGGTATAGAAATAAAAAATAAAACATACATATTTAAAAACTACATCAAAAGTTCAACAAAACAAGTGGTGACAAGAATATTTTATTTTATCATATAGGCCATGAAAAAACACAAATAAATATAAATTTCCGTGAAGTTGGAATAATGCTCTGGGAAAAAAGTTTTAGGACGGAGGGAGTATTATTGAATTTGATCTAATTCTTTTGAAGCACAAGTATATTTTAAGAATGTGAGTGAATCACGTTTAATTTCTCAAAATATGGGATATTGAGGAGGAATTTTCTGAATAATTTATGTCACATTCCCCTTTATTCCCTTTTTATAACGCTTTTTTTTTGGACTGGACTCCCACTCCCAATCCCAGTCCATTTGGAAAAGGAGGGAGTAGGGCTTTGGCGGCAAGGATTAAATAGGATCTTCAAGACCCCCCCCCCCCAATGCAGAGCTCGAAAAATCGAAAAACAGAAACCAACAATGAGCACCGTCGTGAAATTCGGCGATCTCTGCAAGTTACGGCACCTGCTCCAATCTCGTCCGTCGTCAATTCCCGCCCGTGCCATCTCGACTGCAATCTCTCCCCTACTCCGACGATCGTCTATCGTCACCGGCCGTCTCTCGCCGGTCAACAATCTGCCTCCCTCCCTCTACACCGCCTCACGCTCTTTCCGCAACGCCCTAGATCCGAGTTCCAGGCACGCAACAATTTTAGTTCATAGACTTCTTTGACGATGTTGTGAATTGCACTTTTTTTTTTTAACAATTTTGTTTTCAAGTTTTGGTCCAGGCGCGAGATCCAGACGCCAAAGAACTTTGGGATTCAGATTGTGCCAGAGAAGAGGGCTTTTGTAGTCGAGCGATTGGGGAAGTACTTGAAGACATTGGATACTCCAGGAATTCACTTGCTAGTTCCCTTCGTAGACAAAATTGCATATGTCCATTCCCTTAAGGAACAGTTTATTAAGATTCTGGATCAACAGGCCATTACCAAAGACAACGTCGAGGTCTATATTGACGCTGTTCTCCGTGTCCAGGTTACTCTCTCCCAATATCTTAGGGCCTGTTAGCGATTAGCGTTAGCGTTTTGAAAAGACTATCTACAGGCAGCGTTTAGCGTTACCGTTTTCAAAGTAATCTGCACCGTTAAAATTCTATCCAAATCGCTAACGCTAATCTCTAACACTATACCCAAACAGGCCCTTAATCTGTTATTCTTTTTGGAAGGGGAATTTACTTAAATAATGACTTTCCTGGAATAGCATCACATGTGTTTTTTTTCCAATGTAGCACTTTTAGTCATTATACATTAGTCATTATTCAATTAAATATTTGTCATTACTAGACATTATAGACATTATTAAGTCTTATTTAGAGAACAAAATAGTATAAGTACTATTTAGGGAAATGACTTAAGTTTTAGTGCTAATTAGTGTAAATATTTCTTTTGGAATGTGTTAATAGCCCTTCCTCTTGTGGTATTATATTGCAGATAGTTGATCCGAAACAGGCATCATATGTAGTTGAGAATGTATTGTGTCGTGTGGCTGATATTGCACAAATCACTACACGTTGTGAGCTTGGTAAGTTAATGATGGATGAGGCTATTGGCGAACGAGATACTCTAACTGAAAAAATAAGGGTGAGCTTACTGTTGCAGTTCAGTTTCTATTTTTGTATTTTTTGTCCAGAGCATATAACCGGAATTACAACACATTAGGTGCCTCTAACCAACGTGCCATTGGCAGGGTCTTTTCTATTCCTCCCAATTTTTCATACTCTTCATTGACTCCTTAATTGATAGATGTTAGAGCATAAAATCTTACTAGGCCCACAACTACAAACTTGAGCTTTTGGTTGAGTTGGTTTTTATTAAGAGGTCACAAGTTCGAAACTCACTGTTACCCAATTTAAAAATAACGTTCATGTGCAAGGTTGGAACAAAAACACATCTCCTTAGCACGTGAGAGGGCATGTTGGAATTAAAAATTCTGTGCTGACCACAAGCTTTAGCTTTTGGTTGAGTTAGTTTCTTGACAATAGGTTTACTTCATTACAGGTGCAATAATGCACAATTATGTGCTTATATTTTATATACTACTGCAATGTTAGAGTAAATTTGAGAGATTGGTTTGTGGTTTTATTTTTTTTCTAGAATTGCTGGTAAATGAATTATAAATTTTAAGCCACGTTTTTCCTTTGCCTTGACAATCACTAATGGGTACGTGTGTGTGTGGGTGGGTGGGTGGGGGTAGAGAGTCAAGAGGTCGAAGGTAGCACTGTATTACTATTACCTACTCCGTATTATTTTATGATATGTTATTTTGATATTTTCTAAGTGGTATAAATAAAGTCGATAAGTCCACCACCTCTATTCTCAAAATATTCATGGACCCTTGATCCCTTGATAACTCAATCACCTATATTCTCAGTCTCCTCTACTATCTTCCATGAATCTTTTATTAAACTCCTTGTCTTTCTCATTATCTTCCATTTTTTTCACACTTCCTTTTGCACTTTGGCCCACCAATGTGAACTTTGGGCTGCAAATGTTCTCTGACACCATTTATACCGATCTTCTCGTGAAAAGAATCCAAGCATATGCTCTTCACCCTGCCACTGGTTTTGTGTCTCAAAAGTGATTGTTGTGAAATGTAATGTTATACGGAGTACTATTTTTAGAAGTTTTAGCTTGACTAGTATTGAATGCATTTGCATGCAGATGACAATCAATGAAGCTGCCAGTGATTGGGGGTTGAAGTGCATCCGATATGGAATACGTATGTGGCTTTATATTTTTATTAGACATGGTTTCTAGTCTCAATATTTGATCTTTCTTGGAAAATCACATCTCTTTCTTTTTCAGGAAAAAATTCTCTCCCTCTTGAAGTTATGGCAGCTACGGAGAGCAAGCAGCAGCTGAACGAAAGAAATTAGAAGGTGACATGCTTTCTTTGTTCTCGTTAATGAGTATTTGTGATTTTGCGCCTCTTTGATATGGTGACCTTTTGTTAGGGAAGAAAGGCATGTTAGAACATTCTATAGATCTCTCGTAGTGAAGAAAGCAAACTGAGTTTTTTTAGTAAAAGAATTGTGCTTAAAATGGATGAGCCTAAAGCCTTCACAATTAGTTTGCTAGTGCTGTTTTATGGGTTGGAATTTGTAATAAATAGAACTTCATTGAATGAAAAAAATCCAACCTTGATACTTTTCTCTTGCATATATCTGTTGTGGTTTTGTTATGCAGGGGAAGCTCAAACAATTACTAACATCATCAGATCTTAGAAACATTAAGGTTATGATATTTTCTTACATTTATATTTGTGTCAACCAGGCAAAGTTGAAGAAATTATTGCGAGAGTAGTGGCTACATCGGACCCGCAACAAATTGCCGAGGTTTCTCGAACTGGCGCTGAATGTTGGGAGCTAGCAAGCCTCTATAGGAATGGACTATTATAAGGCTGGTGGGTGTGGTGTTGCCAATCACGCGGTGTCACGTCAGCTTTTCTCTCTCCAATTGCAGTCCATCATTGAATAGGGATGTAGATTACGCGCATGTTTTTTTCATTTATTAAAATCAAAATTACTTAGAGTAAAAACATTATATAAATATTTCACTAGCATTAAAATGGAAAATTATATTGAAATAATACGAAAATATAGAAAAAAGAGTTATAGATGGTGGAAAAAAGTATTAGTACTCTTTCTTTTATATTGGAGGGGGTGGGGGTGGGGTGTTCGGGTTGGGGCGGTGTGGGGGGGGGGGTTTACCGGGGTAGTTAGAGGGTATGAACCGTCAATTTTACGAACGGGATACTGGAGCGGTCTCGGGTCATCCCATGACATTGCCCCATGACATTGCCGGACAATGTAATGAGAACCTTGATGATTTTTCTTTGCATTTATTTTAATTAAAACTATTGAAACTAATTTTTTTTGAGTGGTGGTTAATACGGATTATTAAATGTAAAAGTACACATACAAAATTAAAATTTTATTTTAAAAAACGGTTCAAGAAACAAAAAAAAAGTAAAAAAGTAAATTGAAAAGTAAGAAATGAATTAAATAGTAAGAAAGAAAGCAAACCACAAAAAGTAATGCTAGTCATAAACAAACAGTTTCCAAAATTCATAAACTTATTTTTTTAACATTTTTCTATAAATAAGATGCACTGAAACCATAAAAGATGTTTTAGTTTAAAATCCAGAAAAGACAAGTTTGTGAATTATATGTTTGTAATTCTAGCATTTTCTAACCACAAAAGGGTAAAAAAAAATAACGCAAGAAAGAAAAAAAAAAGGAGATGAGAAAAATTGCCGAACCACCACATGTGTCACGATCACAGAAAGGGGCGGTATTCTCTTTCCCACCCGATCATACGTGGTTGCCACATAAGCCATGGCGACCTATCATCCCCTTCCACATCCTTGATCCTTCATTCTAATTTTTGGATGTGTTAAATTTAAATTAGAGTAAATTCTTAAATTGGTTCTTTCTAATAAGGTTTTTTTCTAAATTAATCTTCAATAAGCAATGCTACTTTATGTTGGGAAATGCTCGATCTTTCCCGCTTCGTGAAGTTAAGATAGACACTTAAGAACTGATGTAGTAGTGAGAACACAAGAGTTTATAATTCTCCAAAATGGAGATTCTTCCACTATATAAAAGAATAGTAGGATTACAAGAATATGTTTACAAAATTGACTCACACTATGGTGGCTCACTCAAGCTTGAGGGTTAGGACTTCCCAAGCTCTACACTCTCACACTCTAAGAGACTTCTCACTTTACAAGTGGATTGTTTTCTTCACTTTTGATGGTTGGAAGTGAAGGAGATTCTCCCTATTTATAGTACTCCTCCATGGGTAGTTTTAGGATTCTAGAAACTTCAACATCTCTAGAAGTTTCTCCATACACTTCCATCTTCTTCTATAACCTTCCATAAGGTTCTAGAAGGCTTCACACTTCTCTAGAATATTCCAGAGGCTTCCACACTCTTCCATAGTCTTCCATAAGCTTCTAAAGAGTTCTATACTTTTCTAGAGTTCTCCGGATCATTCTAGAAAATTCTTGACTTCTCTAGAGAGCTCTGGAAGTTTCTAGAATCTCTCCAATTAAGGAAGGAACCCAACAAATCTCCCCCTCCTGACTTAATTGGGGGGTAGTTGCAAACTGGCACCTTGACAGCAATCTTCAAACTTCTTTGTTGATATTACTTTGGTCATCATGTCTGACCAGTTGTCATCTGTGTGGACTTTATCAAGATGTATTTTCTTTTCTTCAAGGACTTCACGAATCCAATGATACCTTATGTCAATGTGCTTTGTGCGGGAGTGAAACGTCGAGTTCTTTGCCAAATAAATTGCACTTTGATTATCGCACTTTAGGATATACTTTTCTTGATCAATACCCAACTCCTGTATCAAATCCTTCATCCACAACATTTCCTTGCATGCTTCTGTAGCTGCGATGTACTCTGCCTCGGTAGTGGATAATGCTACACACTTTTGTAGCTTTGATTGCCATGAAACATCTCCCCCTGCAAAGGTAGTTAGGTATCCCGATGTTGATTTCCATGAATCGATATCACCGGCCAAGTCTGCATCCGTGTATCCTTCTAACACAGGTTTACCTTTTCCAAAGCATAGACACCTTTTGGAAGTTCCACAGAGGTATCGAAGGATCCATTTAACAGCACTCCAATGCTCAGTCCTTGGGTTGGCCAAGAAGCGACTAACAACACCAACTGCGTAGGCGATATCTGGTCTTGTGCATATCATTGCATACATGAGACTGCCTACTGCGGATGAATAAGGCATTTTCTTCATATCCTCTATGCCTTTTTCACTTGTGGAACTTTGTTTCGAACATAGCTTGAAGTGTCCAGCAAGTGGGGTGTTAACCGGTTTTGATTTGTGCATGTTGAACCTTTCTAACACCTTCTCAACATACCTCTCTTGGGATAACCATAGCAGTCTCTTCGACCTATCACGAATTATTCTCATCCCAAGGATTTGTTTAACTGGTCCCAAATCTTTCATGGCGAAGCTCTTGCTTAGATCTTTCTTCAAAGCAGCTATCTTTATGCGATCTTGTCCAACAATCAACATATCATCAACATAGAGCAGAAGTATGAGAAAGTCACCATTTTCATACCTCTTAATGAAGACACAATGATCGCTTTCTGTCTTTTTGAAATCATGCTCTGCCATGAAAGAGTCGAATTTCTTGTACCACTGCCTTGGTGCTTGCTTAAGGCCATAAAGACTCTTTGTAAGTCGACATACTAGGTTCTCCTTGCCTGGAACTTTGAATCCCTCAGGCTGCTCCATGTAGATCTCTTCCTCCAAATCACCATGAAGGAATGCCGTCTTGACATCGAGTTGTTCAATCTCCAAGTCTTGCACTGCTGCTAGCCCAAGAACAACTCGGATAGATGACATCTTTACCACTGGAGAGAATATTTCTTCAAAATCAATACCTTTTTCTTGCCCGAATCCTTTGACGACCAACCGAGCTTTGTAGCGAGGTTTTGAGCTGTTGTCTTCGTTCTTTATCCGATATACCCATTTGTTCTTCAAGGCTCTTCTCCCTTTTGGTAGCTTCACTAACTCGTAAGTATGATTCTCATGCAAGGATTGTATTTCTTCTTGCATGGCCCTTTTCCACTCTTCATTATGTTCATCATTGATTGCTTCTTTATAGCTTTGTGGCTCCCCCTCATCAGTTAGCATAATGTACTCGTCTGTGTTATAACGAGTGGATGGTCTTCTCTCTCTCGTGGATCGTCTCGGCTCTGGTGCCGTGAGAGAGCTAGATTGAGGTTCTTCATGTGCTAGTTCACCATGACTCTCCTGGTTGCTTTGTTCTAACTCAGGCTCGTGATTTTCAGCATCATTGGCTTCTTGAGTGTCATTGTCTTCACTTCGAGCTGGAGTTTGACCGGCACTCTTGCTACTTCTCAATCTTGGCCTCTCTGAATTCTTAATGTCTTCAATTGTTTGGTCTTCGAAGAATACAATATCCCTGCTACGAACAACCTTTCTGTGGAATGGATCCCAAAGCCGATACCCATATTCATCCTTCGGTGAACGAAGGTAGATGCACTCCTTTGTCTTTGCATCAAGCTTAGCTCGCTCATCTTTGGGAATGTGAACAAATGCTCTACATCCGAACACCTTGAGTTGTTTATATGAAGCCCTTTTGCCTGTTCAAACTTCCTCTGGGATGGCCCCTTCCAGAACAACTGATGGTGTGAGGTTTACAACATCAACCACATTCATCACAGCTTCTCCCCAAAATGATTTGGGTAGCTTCGCATGAGAGAGCACACATCGAACTCGTTCTTCAATAGTTCGATTCATTCTCTCTACTAGCCCATTCAATTGTGGTGTCTTAGGTGGAGTCTTCTCCAACCGAATGCCATATTTCTTGCAATAGGCTTCAAAAAGACCTCTATACTCCCCTCCATTATCAGATCGTACACACTTGATCTTCCGTCCAGTCTCACGTTCTACTAGAGCATGGAATTCCTTGAATGCATCAAGTACTTGATCCTTGGTCTTTAGTAGATATAACCATACCTTTCTTGAGTGGTCATCAATGAAGGTGACAAAATGTAATGCACCACCATTGGATCTCTCTGACATCGAGCACACATCAGTGTGTACGAGGTCAAGGATGTTCTTTCTCCTTGCGGGTGGAGAAGATCTTTGGAAGGCAACTCTATGTTGTTTTCCAGCTAGACAATGAGCACAAGGATCAAGTTGTTTACCTTTCACATCGGGGAGGAGATCTTTTCGAGCGAGCATGTGAAGACCTTTCTCACTAATGTGCCCAAGTCTTTTATGCCATACCTCCATATCATCATAAGTAAAATTTATCTCGCCTTTGCAAAGCTTGGCTTGCATCACATACAATGATCCTTCCTTCTTTCCTCAAGCCATAATTAAACTTCCTTTGGTGAGCTTCCACTTTCCTTCACCAAAGTAATTCACCAGACCGACATCGTCTAGTTTTCCAGCGGAGATAAGATTCAGGCGCATAGCCGGGACATGTCTCACATCTTTTAATACAAGGTTGCATCTGGTACTTGTTTCCAAGATGATGTCTCCTTTCCCGACGATGTTGCTCCTATCTTGATTTCCCATTTGTACCGTACCAAAGTCACCACTTTGGTAGGATGAGAAGAAACTTCTATGTGGAGTAACAAGGAAGGAAGCACCGGAGTCTATAATCCAAGAGCTTTCATCACAAGCTATGTTTAGGATATTACCTTCTCCAACAAAAAAGAGCAGATCTTCTCTTGATACTACAGCTGTAGTACTCTTCTCTTCTTGCTTCTTCGTTGGGCCGATCTGGTCTGGCTTGATGTTACTTGCCTTTTGATCTCTCTTCAGGGATCGACATTCAGTTTTCTTGTGGCCTATCTTTCCACAGTAGTAGCAAGTAATCCTTGAGCGTGACTTGGATCTACCTCGAGATTGATGTGGATCTCGGCTCTTGCTACGTCCCCGAGTTTCATGCCTACTCTGCTTCTCAATAATGTTGGCCTCGGAATAGGTGGGCTCGCCTCGTTCCATTCTCCTTGCTTCTTCTCCAAGAAGGCTATCACTAACGGTATCCATGGTGAGCTTTCCTTCCGGAGCTGAGTTACTAAGGGTAACCACAAGTGTATCCCAGCTTTCCGGCAAGGAACTAAGGAGTAGAAGGGATTGCAACTCATCATCAATCTTCATATCAACTTTTGTTAACTGATTTACGAGCCCCGTGAAGTTGTTCAAGTGCTCAATCATACTTTGGCCATCCTTGTACTCTAGTTTCACCAACCGTCGAACTAAATTGGCTTTGTTACGAGGCGTTTTCTTTTGAATCATGGACTCAAGCTTTGTTCTTAACTCATAAGCATTTGTGTACGTAGAAACATGCTCGAAGAGAGTCTTATCAATGTACTTACGGATCATTGCAACGGCCTTGCGATTGAGTAGCTCCCATTGAGCATCGCTCTTGCCTTCGACCTTGTCTTTGTAGATGATGGGCTCATGCAAATCCTTGCAGTATAGATGGTCTTCCATCATCGCTTTCCAATATGAGTAGTTGTTGGCCGTGAGCTTGAACATGTCTCCATCATGAGTGACGTTGTCCTCCATCTTGAACTGCACGAGCTAATGACGGTTTCAAGTGAACCTGGCTCTGATACCACTGTTGGGAAATGGTCGATCTTTCCCGCTTCGTGAAGTTAAGATAGGCACTTAAGAACTGATGTAGTAGTGAGAACACAAGAGTTTATAATTCTCCAAAATGGAGATTCTTCCACTATATAAAAGAATAGTAGGATTACAAGAATATGTTTACAAAATTGACTCACACTATGGTGGCTCACTCAAGCTTGAGGGTTAGGACTTCCCAAGCTCTACACTCTCACACTCTAAGAGACTTCTCACTTTACAAGTGGATTGTTTTCTTCACTTTTGATGGTTGGAAGTGAAGGGGATTCTCCCTATTTATAGTACTCCTCCATGGGTAGTTTTAGGATTCTAGAAACTTCAACATCTCTA